CTATTATGACATTATTTTCAAATCACGTCACCTTATGCAAAGAAGATCCATTTGACAGAATGTAATAGGCTAATACCTGTACACATTTAATTCACATAATTTTCCTTTGTTTTTCATTAAAAAATAGCACAAGTATCTATAATAACTGACCACCCACATGTGCATTTACCTTACATTTGCCATTACACTGTGATGCATCAAGTCGCCCACGTGGCTTCTGCTCTAGAGTCATGGAGTAAGGAGTTGATCCTTACGTCGCGGGTTTGAATCCAACTGTGAGACATGGAGACCGGTCCTTCGGATGAGACCTTATAAACCGAGGTCCCGTACGTGACACAGTAGTAAGTACCGTAAGTACCGAGTGTATGACAAAATTTGCAGCTCTCCACCAGCAAGTGGTGGTGTCTCCATATGTTTGTTTGTTTGTATGTTGTTTAACATCCCTCTCAAGAATTTTTCACTCATATTTAGACGCCGCCACTTGCCGTTGGGGAGCTGCAAATTTTGTCCTATACTCGGCACTTACGGCCATTGAGCAGTGAGGGATCTTTTTCGTGCCAGCACCTACTGCGACACGGGACCTCGGGCTATACAGTCTCATCCGAAGGACCGGTCTCCACGTCCCACAGTGGGATTCAAACCCACAACGTAAGGATCAACTCCTTACTTCGTGACTCTAGAGCAGACGCTCTAACCACTGCACCATGCGGCGTCTCCATATGAGTGAAAAATTCTCAAGAGGAACGTTAAACAACATACAAACAAACAAACACATGCATCAAAATTTAATTCGAATTAGATTAGCTTGAAGTGTTCACGCAGAGCTAATGCGAAGTAATTTAATGTGCAGTAAATTAACTTACGTTTAATTTGAATTAAACTCTCCATGTGAACAGGGCATATAATGATGCCCTGTTCACAAGGAGAGTTTGATTTGAATTAAACACAAGTTACTGTGAATTAAATTTGAAGCGTATTCACATGGAGAATTTAGTGTGAATTAGTTTAATTCAAATTAATTTACTGCGCATTAAATTACATTGCATTAGCTCCATGTGAACACTAAGCGAAGCTAATTCGAATTAAATTTTGACGCATGCGTAGGCCAGAATTAAGTCACGGGCCACATATCGGTGGTTAGATTTATGTATCTGTGCTATTCTTGGTTGAAAAAAAAAAGGAAAGTAATGTAAATCACTAAAATGTATACAGTCACTATGATTATATATGTTATGTCAAATGATCTGCTCTGCATACATGACATGATTTACAAATGATGTCATAATAGCCTTACTGAAAAGCTATCGTAGCCTAGAAAAAAAAAATTAATTCGCATCAGCTTACTTCGCTTTTGCTGTTATCCGAATGCATTCTTATTCGCATTATTTTAATTCACATTATTTCACTTCGCATTAATTTACTGCGAATTAAACTCTCTGTGTGAACAGGGCATTAGACATATAGCAAAAGGGATTTACTTAATACAATAATGACCTACCTCAATGTTACTCAAAATGCACTTATTATCTAGTGTTAAAGAGCAAAATAATTGAATATTAAGTTATTGTTTTCATAATTGTTTACATATATAAAAGAAACTCAGGGTGAAGCATCCATTGATTAAAAAAGCTACCACATTACTGATATGACAGTTCAATTCATTAAGTGACAATTATGTTTTCCACATTTTTTCTTAATTATTATCATTTTACAGCATTCCTTAAAAAATCACATTGAATGGTCTCTCTATAAGGTCATGTGTTAGGAATAAAAATTTTCATTCAAAAAGATAATATGGATGAAAACATCTTGTACAAAATTTATTAATGATAAAGTAAACATTTATCACATTTTCACTGTCAAACCAGCCTTATTTGTCATTTTCTCCAAATTGTGAGCCTTATATATCTCTACTGACATCCAGTACAAAAAGATGAAAAATGAAATTCTCAAGAATAAATTTATATTTATCCCAATTTTTATGTGAACACATTAATTTCAATCTTTAAAAATCTTATAAAAAAAAAAAAAAACAAAAACAAAAAAACAAAAAAACAAACAGAATATAAATATAAATAGCAATTTAAATTGTTATGAAGGACATATCAAATCAGGTCATTATACCCCAAATCAGGACATTATACATGTACTCCTGTCATTTTTATTATGTCCAATAAAAATTTTATATATTTTATTTTACATTTCGCCATGATTCTTACAGAGAATAATAATTTTATTATTATTTCCAATAAAAATGATATTGTTTGTGCACCTAAAAACTATTTATTACAATCAGTCAGGACATTGTACTATAAGGGCATTATACACATCCGATGTAAACAGCTTAATCAGGTAAGGCATAATTTTGGGCAAGAAAAATTCGCATCCTTGTTTGATTCCTTGAAATGAATGTGTAATTATGTTCTGCAGACTTGAAGTCTTTCTAAAGACACACTACATCTGCGCAATTTCTTGTCGAATGTTTTTTATCTGTTATTACGACAGATAAGACTTTCCGAATTGCCTAGGTTTCTTATTTCAGCTGTTTAGCATGTTTGGTGTGTTTGTTTATATACGAACAATTTTTAAATTAAGTTCTGCAAAGTTCATTATAATTGCATATCATATGATATGATTCTTTTTAAAGCAGGCCGGGTGCAATGTATTTAATTTTTGTATCCTAATCTTTTCAATCAGACATTTGACATGTATTGTGGCAGATGTAGTTTATTTACGTTTTCTTAAATCTTTTCATTTCGATCCCGATGTAAATTATTTATCTTATATGTGGAAACGCCCACTTTTGTCCAGTAAGTTCTTTGACAGTTCCTTTTGTTCTCATTTCCATATAAAGCTTTGCAGCTAGCTATCAGATCATCGGGGAGGGAGACAGCTGACTTTGCTAGCTACACTCTTCATATTCTGGAATCATTTTCTTGTCTGTTTATATTGCTTTTATAGTGTAACATGACTGTCTAGGGGTCAGTCCTGTACATAATCCGAGTTCGGAAGGATGAAAGAAAACAAGAATTTCAGTGTTTAAAGACTGAAGAATTAGATTCTATATTCTGTTAAAATAACAATCATGTAAATCAAACGTAAAACATATGAAACAATATCACCTACGATCTAAGAGTGTGATAATTACCATTATTGTAGATAGAAATTTAGCCTCGATCCTCGAAATATGTCTAATCAATAATCAATAATAATATCGACTGCTGCTGATTATACACAAATGCATGTATACAGGGTTCGACACTAAATTTTTAAGGCTTTAGTCCAGCCGGACTAGTGCTTCATTACTTTTATTAGTCCGCACACAATTTTATTAGTCCGTCAAAAAAAAACATCAATGTTTTTTAACATTAATTTAACGTGAAATGCGTATTATTTTTTGAAATAAACAAAGTATTTATGTGAAATATATTATTCCACAGATTCATTGAAATCTCGCAATCAGCAAGGAAGATGTTCATATTCCCGATCTCGTTTTTTTCCCTTTACATTACATCCAAAACGTCCAACATCTTTCTTAAAAGTGTCATATTAAATCATGATCGCTAAAATCTTATACTTCACATCTTTCAGTCGAAAAAATTAATCGCTGAATTGACCCAGCATTGCGTAACTACCCGCCAAAACCTGTCGAGAATCGGACATCGGTAATTTATTCATATTGTTTTTCAGAAATTTCTATTGGTTCGTTCGGACTAATTAGCCCCATATTTTATTAGTCCGAATGAAAATGTATTAGTCTGAGACTAACGATCTAATGTTAGTGTCGAACCCTGGTATAATATGACAACAATAAATCCCGACCGGGTACTATAGACCTGGGCGTGCCTAATCCGGACGGGTTATAAACAAAGGGGAATAACTCCATATAACAAGTTAAGACAAATAGGGGAAATATGAATGAAATATGTCACATACAGATAAATAAATATATACACACATAATAAATACACTTCAAACCATCACAATAGATTAATATTTGGGTTAAGTTAGGCAATATTTTGGTTGGGGAAATTAGGTGTCCACATTGTTCATTAATTGTAACAGTTTTCTGTTTTCTGTAGGACTGGTAATAAATTTGTAAGGTCGGTATACCAAATTGAATATTGAACTAACAGAACAATACATAGAATCACGAGTACCTCGCAGTTATCTTACTTACTACTGCTCTTTTGTGGGGGAGTCGAGGAAGCTCTAAATCTCGCAAGATTTCTGGGGCATAACATTGTTTACAGCAGTGACAATCAAATGATTTGAACAATAAGCAGTGATGAGTATGCAGAAAGTACAATGTATTGCCAAGGATTGAACTCGAAATAGTAGCTATTTTGTCAAATAAGGAAAGTTTAAAGTATTTTATGAACTATAAAAAGTAACGATTTTCAATGAGAATTTCATGAGAAGAGTCCACTTAGTGAAAAGTATCGCTAAAAATGTAACATTTGAGGATTAGCTCCTCTCTCAGATTTATTAGGCTGGTTCAGCATATGTTTAGCAAGATATTTCACCAGGATTTCTTTCTTATAAATTCCACAATGATCGATCTTGCATTGTATTCAATAGCACATTTGCCCCAATCCAACAGGCGTTTCCTACCTCCACCGCAAAAGAGTTCTGCTAAGTTAAGTATATGCAAAATCAAGTATTGACTTTTTCATCAAGGTGTGTGCAATAATCATTGAGGATTTGTTAAAGAATATTTTTGTTTGTTCCCTTTAAATCCTACAAACTGAGACCCTTTTCAATGTAAATTGTAAGTAAACAGTTATGATAACAATAATCATTGCGAGTACAGGGAGTGGCGCAAAGCCCCGCTCATCACTGGGAGCTCTTAATACAACGCGTGGGTGAAGAGAAAATTTGGACATTACACATTGATCCAAACAATTTTTTTTTTCCACAGTAACTTCTGGACCCACAATGCATTGCTTGTTAAATTACCTTCTCACAAGAATAACAATAAAAGTTCAACAAATAATAAACTCGCCTTTATTTAATGGATATATTGCAGATAAATAGTCAATAAAACATTCTTCATTAAAATAAGCACTGTTCTTTCTTCAGTTTAATGGTAACGAAACTTACATACCACATCATGTGCCGTCAGAGTCTAGACGCACCAAATGTCACGTGCGGTTTATAGAGACAGGCCTAAATACAATGATAAACAGTACACTGAAAAGGTATCTGCGCTTGCCCTAACGGTTGCACGATTAACATTTTATGATTGAATAATTCTCAGGTTTTTGATTGTCTGATAGCCAACATTTTAGAAATCAAAAAATGTTATACTGTAGACGTATTACATTTGGATGTGTATTTTTTTTAGTGCCTTTGGCTGAAAGAATCTTCTGTTAATTCAAGTACAATGCTAAATGTCTTGCAGCACATAATTATTCACGATTAAGAACATTAAGAAATGTGCTAAATCAAATCTAAGCTAACTTGCTCAAAAGTTAATTTCCCTCAAATATCGTACATGTACACCCTAAATAGAATACATTTACAGTATTCACCTGCATGTTATCTTCCAGATGAATATTATTGAATTCATGTACAATTATTGACTTTTGATGAGGTCTACTCATTACTATACAGACCTGGTCAGGTATTAGTTGACTGAGACCGAAAGCTATTCAAAAGTCAAGAGCCGTTTTATCAAAAGATCTGGAATTTACTACATTTTTGACACTTTAGTTCTTGTCTCCAACAAATATAAACACTCATGATATAATGCATAGTGTAACTTAACACATTATAATTGTAATTGATCAGCTTAACAAATGTTTAAAAGTGGAAAAAAAATATTAAACAACAGATACTCAACTATTTACTAAGAAATTAGCTTAGTGTCTCTGCATCTAGCATGTTAACATTTAAAACGACACATGTTTTAAAAACATGCACTTTGATTGGTCAAAAATGTTAGCAAATCTATGAAGAAATAAATTCAGAATTAAATTTATGAAATTGTTTTTTTAGAATGTTTGAGGCAAACAGAAGATGCATGGAATCCCCCCTGAACATGGAGACAGTACAGTTACATGCATTATCAAAGCTAGATTATTAGGTGCTACATTTAAACTCAACCATTAATATTTGCTTATTTTTAAGGTAATGAAATATTTCAAACCGAATTTGTTGTATCATTCAACATTTAATGTCCTGTATTGCTTTTTTTGGTGTAGTATGTATGTATGTTGTTCTACGTCCCGTTCGAGAATTTTTCACTCATATAGAGATGTCACCATAAACTGGTGAAGGGCTTCAAATTTTGACCTTTACTCGGCACTCAGGGCCATTGAACAGTGAGGGATCTTTATCGTGCCAACGCCTGCCGTGACACAGGGCCTCGGTTTTTAAGGTCTCATCCGAAGAACCCGCAACTTTCACTTCAAAGTGCCGAGCGCATGGCGAAGAAACAGTTGCTACCCATTTTTTATCAACTTAGGTCAGTCGCGGCTGAGATTTGAACTCACAACCTCCTGATCACAGAGTGAGCGCTCTACCAACTGAGCTACCGTGAACGGTCTTTTGGTGTAGTAGATATAAGCTTCTAAAGCATATTGTTTTCAAAGAAATGAAAAGAAATTAAAAAATGAAAAGTAATTTATGCTAATTTTAATAGCCTACACTTTAAAAAGATTTCTGTATTTCCCCCTCTGAACTGGAGAGATTAGACATGTCAGTTGATATACTCTATATTATACAATTCGGTGGTTAACGATGCAACATAAGAATTCAAGTGCATAGTGTTGCCAAAGTACCTGCAGAAGTTGTAGTAAAACCTTCAGGGGTAAAAATATCATTTTCATCCTCTTATTTTCATACTTGATTGCCAAAGCTTAATTATGACTTTTATGAAGTTTTTCTTTTCCAATTTAGGTATACAGAGATCCCTTGAAGAAATAAAGAACAGCTTTTAATTAGAGAATTCTCTTTTAATACAGTTACAAAGTTGTCAAACCATGATGAGTAAAAAAGATGCAAGGAAATTTGTTTACAGCCTTCCAGGTAATAATAAAATAATTCAATCTTCCAAAAGAGATTTTATCTCACTCAAGCAGAAGACTCAAGTGAGCTTTTCTGATCAAAAAGTGTCTGATGTCTGCCTATCTAGCTGTCCGTCAACCTTCTGTTCATCTGTCTGTCACGTTGCTGCAGAATTGTAGCTCTCTGAAAAAAAATATATTGTCAGACCGGAGAGCTACAGTGCCACCCATTAAAAAAATGTGTATATTTACTGCGCCAAAAAAAAAGTAAGCAGAATCTCGATTTATTTCTCTGTTATCAACTGCAATCTAAAAATACTATTAACCCTGTGTCTCTAACATATTTTTGCACTTTTTCCACAACAAAACATTCTTTACAACCATTGTTAATCATATCAATAGCCCTCCTGGACCTTGAAATTGAAACCTCGAAAATTTTGTCTATTTATTCTGCCATCTTGTTTGGCAAGGTAATTCTGTCCAACGCGCTTCTTGCAGATGTCAACTACAAGAGTAGTTGATAGAGGTCTAAAGAAAATTTTGAAATCCAGGTTTTGTGCAGTTGAGGTAAAAATTTAGAGAAATTAATTCAGAACTGAGCGCAACTTTTTGTGTGCAATAAATATACACTTTTTTTCTATGGGTGGCACTGTAGCTCTCTGGTCGTCTATCCCAATTTTTTCAAACCAGCAAGTTACAGATCAGCAGCTTTCTGTCATGTTGTCTGTAAACTTAATTTTTACATTTTCAACTTCTTCTTCAGAACCACTGGGCCAATTTCAACCAAACTTACCTCAAAGCATTCTTGGGTGAAAGGAATTTAAGATTGTTTAGAGGAAGTGGCATGCCCCCTTTCAAGGGGAGATAATAAGGAACTCATAAAAAGAAAATTTGAATTTTAAAAATTTTCTGCTCAATAACCACTTGACCAGAAACAATAAAATTTATGTGAAAGCTTCTATTAAAGTTTGTTCAAATCATGACTCCCAGGGGTAGGATGGGATCATAAGAAGGGATCAGAGAATAACATAGGAATATGTAGGAATTATCCTCAAAAATCTTCCTCCTGAAAACAGCAAAGCCATTATTAGTCATTTTTTATACAGAGGCATCCTCAGGTAGTGAAGATTCAAATTTGTTTAAATCATAACCTCCGGGACTAGCATGGGGCCACAACAGGGGATCAGGGTAATGCATTGGAATATATAGAAAATATTTTTTTTTAAAATCTTCTTCTCAAGAACAACAAAGCCATAATTTCATATGTTTTTTAGAAACTTTAAAGGTATTGTAGACACAAATTTGCTAAAATCATGCCTGGGGAGAGGGGGGTGGTTAAGATGGGACCACAATAGGCAGTAAAAGTTTTATAATGGAATACATATGGAAAATGTCTTTAAAAATCTTCTTCTTAAGAAGAGGAAAATTTATATGAAGTCATATTTATATGGAAGCATTCTCAGGTAGAGTAGATTGAAGGTTACATGTATTCAAATCATGACCCCTATGGTAGGGTGGGGCTATAATATGTGATCAGTTTTACACAAGAATAAATAGGAGAAGAAAGAATCTGCTGACGGAAAACAGAAGGGCTATAGTTAATCAGGTGAGCATTATGGCCCATGGGCCTCTTGTTTGTTCGATATTTACATTAAGAATGGTTGTGTAGAAATCATCAAGATTCACCTATTATGTGTCATATTTTTTAAATTAAAAGTTAACAGTAAATTTTGTTTGTTTATCAACAGATTCAGCAAATAATGCTAGAGAATTAGTTAATGCAAGACCTAATGATGGAAATGTACCAGGTTCCATGGCTAGGAGAATGTCAGAAAGCCTCATCATTAGTGTGTTACAGGTAAAATTTTTTTTAGGAATTTAAGAAATAAATAACAGCTAGTGTAAAAAATTCACTAGGAAATGAATTTGGTTGGTTCACGATCACATCTCTTGAGAAGCCTGAAAGTCTCATTGATGAAAGTGTTACCATGCTGGTTTCCCAGGTGCCTATAACACTGATATCCTACATGTAGGTCCCAGTCAAGCATCTGCTCTGCTCAAAGTTCCAGGAGTGAAAAATGTTGGTTAGGAATAAAGTGGCATCAGGTATTGCTTCTGTCATAGAATCTTCTTTTTAAGAATTAATTAACCCCTTAGTCAGTATTAGGAGTATATAGTTTTTGCCCTGCTTATCGATCTTGTTTGTCTGCAAAAATTTAACCTTGCCCATAACTTTTTTAGTAGATGGAACTATGGCATTCATATTTCACAGGTCACTTGTGACAATACCTTTCTTTGGGTATCACTTAATTTGACCTCTTGACCTTGGAATTTGACCCACTTACACAAAAAATTACCAAATTTTAACCTTTGCAATAACATTTGAACGGTTGTGCTAGGGCTTTCATCCTTCACTTGTATATTCATTGTGGTAAGACCTTTTAATGGGCATAAATATTTTTGACCTTTTGACCTTGACCTTAGAGTTTGACCCACTTTTTAACCTGGGCTATAATTTTCAACGGTTAGCACAAGGGCTTTCATATTTCACAGGTGTATTCCTTGTGACAACACCTTCCTTTGGATACCAACAGTTTGACCTTTTCACCTTGACCTTAGAGTTTGACTAATTTCATTTTCATGTATTTGAGAAACTTCAACCCTCGCCCTACGGGGGCATCAGTGTTTCACAAACACATCTTGTTTCACATAAATTGTAGCTTTAACAAAGACAAAGACACACTGTTTATAATTTTTTAAGATGACATTTTATTTACAAGTTATGCTGGGGGGTTCTTTTAAAATATTCTGTTTACATGAGGTCATATGAACAAAAGAAGGTAGTACACAGTGTTTAGACTGGCAGAAGAAGTGATATGGTATCATTATTTTCTTATACATATACAGTAAAACAGGCTTTAGCTTATAATGAATTCAAGCTAATAGCAAAGTGATTTTTATTCTCTGTTTTTTTTTAAAACATATTACAACTCAATGTATACATGAATAATGATTTACCTTAAGTTTTTAACAAAGCAAAATTGTCTGTCCCTAGCACTTTGATATAGGCTTGTTTTTCTGACTAACTGTACAAGTATTTATTCCACCAGTTCAAATTTTAATATGCCTTTTATGCTTTTGATAACTGTGATTTAATGTAGAATTATATCCACAGCATTTTTTTAATCTTTGCAAAAACTATTAGAATTATTATTAGTCCCCCACCTGTGAAACCAGAGGTGACAATAGGTTTCACCGTGTTTGTGCGTCTCTCTGTACATCTCTCTGTCTGTCCATATGTATGTCTATCAGTCTGTTCCACTTGGTTTACCACACTTTTTTTCTAAATGCTTGCAGATATTGAGATGTTTTTTGGTATGTGAGTCTAACTTGATGAATTATAGATTAAGTTTGCATTATGATTTTTTGACAGAATTATGGCATTTTCAATTTTAAATGGAAACCAGATTACACTTGCTGGTAGGGGACTAGCATTGCAATGGCAAAACTCTCAGAATGCTTGTTCTGGTTGAAATGTTTGTGTTTTTAGTCCCCTACCAGTGAAACCGGAGGGGACTATAGGTTTCCTTTGAGTCTGTCTGTCCCTCTGTCTGTCTGTCCCTCTGTCTGTCTGTCTGTCCCACTTGGTTTTCCGCACTTTTTTCCTAAACGCTTGCAGATATTGAGCTGATTTTTGGTATTGAGTGTATCTTGATGAGTTACAGATCAAGTTTGCATTTCGTTCCGCTTCATTGATTTTTGACGGAATTACTACCTCTTCAATTTCTAAGGGTTTTCCGCAATTTTCTTCTAAACGCTTGCAGATATTGAGCTGATTTTTGGTATGTGACTTTACCTTGATGAGTTATAGATTAAGTATGCATTTCGTTCCGCTTCATTGATTTTTGACGAAATTATGGCATTTTCAATTTTTTACGGGAACCAGATTACACTTGCCGGTAGGGGACTAGTATTGCTAATGCAATACTCTCAGAATGCTTGTTACAATTAAGTTGCATTTTTTTCAGAGGCAGTAAAGGAAATCGATGGTGATGTTTCTTGTGTTGGTGATGAGAATCAGAGTGAGGAGGAAATGGATGACAGTCAAGACAATCACTGATTGCAGTGAACTTGTCGACATGACATCATTTTGGTAAAAATGACATATTTCATGTGCTGTGAGAGACAGAACGAAGATTTTTTTTACAGTGAAAAATGTATTTTATTATTAAACAGAATATTATTTACAGATTTCAGACAGGCACGTAATACAAATGTAAAACCTTTGTTTAGTGCGATAATTCAATAATTATACAGAAAATGTATTTAATAAATTCTTCCTTGTTTTTATGTACAAGGTTCCGGACCCATGTTTATCATAGAGGTGCCTAATTAAATTGTTTTTTCGCAAGGGCATACACTTAATAGATCTTAACAGTTTTTCGAATGTAAATAAAGGATATTTTCCTTAACTTGAAAAGTGCTGCAGCTTTCCCGAAATCGAGAGCATTATTTAATAAATGCATAAAACACTTTGTAAAGGTCACACATATTTCAACTGGAGCTACATAACATGAATTTTTCCTTATAAAATGCAAATTCTAAAGCAGCAGAACTTTTCAGAAAGTACAAGGTATATAGAAATAATTTATAACTTAGATTTTTTAGTGGAACTAGGATATGCCCTTGCGATATTGAAATTTGTGTATGACCTACATGTAGTACACATTATATGCAATTATCACGTGACTTCCAAATAAGGTTACCAAACTAGATTCAATATAGAATGGGGTATAGGCCTACAATATTATTTTTATTAATTTTTAAGTCATCTGGGAATATAATAGCTTTACAAAAATAAATCAGCATTAAAAAGTTATCTATTTGTACATGCCTATTTTCCATTGATTTCTTCACAGTAACAGTGCTGCGTGGTCTACATGCATGAAAAATGTGTAGTTCTCAATACTGGATATTGAGTATGAACAGAAGAGCTTCAGTATAAGTGACAAAAAGAGTGGTTATATATTCAAGGGTAGAGCAAGGTATATTCTGAAATAATTTATTTGCGTTGGTGGAACTTTACCAATATGAGAGTCATCGCATTTCACACAGATGTCTTCTGAATGGAGATGGAAGAGTGAGATTAAATTACAAATAGAACAAAATATTGATCTAAAACTGAATGTAAATTTAAGTAGCCAAGCACACAAGTTCACAGATCATTCAAATAATGAATGTACCTATTTAATACATATATATTAGTGAACAATCATTCTCCAACCAAATTGTATTTCAGATGCCGAAAAGTTCTTCACTTTTCACAATTAAAATACTTAGCCAGTCATGATAAGCCACTTTCAGAGCTATTTGCTTTATTTTTATACAGACAAAAGTATAAACAGAAGAAAAATTATATTCTGAAAATTTGATTTTAAGGAAAAGGAAGCCACTTTCTGATCACAGATCCACAACAGAAATGGAAGATTCTACATGCAAGTGACAGAAGATACAAAAAATCCCATGGACATCATGTGAAATGATTTTAATCAAAAAACATTTCAGAAAAGATTACAAAAATGTAATAAGAACTTAGATAAGTGTTAAAGACCAAGTATATTATCTAGTTTTAAAAAAAAAAAAAAACCAGAGAAAATCTTGATTTACACACTAATTTCAATTGATATATTTTTGAGAAAAATGATAAACACTGTGTTTTGGAGCCACAATTAGCAGTATTGGGGGTTAAATTGTTTGCAGCAGTTTTATCATTATGAAACCTGCATGGACCATGATACTTGCATGACTGAAGAGTGCAGAAGAAACTGCATGATGTGTGTAGCAAATGATTTTGAAGTACATGTATTAAATATTCTGTGCAGAAGGAAATTTTTTCCTTTTTTTTTTTCATGAACATGTTTTCAAGTATCGCATGACCTTTCTGAAAGTGAAAGTGAAAAAAATGTGCATGTCCCAATTAAGTTTGATCAAGTCTCCAAATAAAGTTATATGCAGAAATTCTTTTTTTTATTTATCCACTATGGTATTGTTTATGAAATCTACAGTGAAATGTACTTTTAAGTGAGTTGAATATAAAGAGTTGGGTTCACTTTATGCATAAGATAGCCTTAAGATAGTCCTTATATCAGTTAATTGTCCATCACCCTCTGTCCCATTTCTAACATCCAAATAAAGCTGAGAGTGCCTTTCATTCCTTTAACAAAGTTTCTTTAAGAGTCCAGAGATTGGAAATTAAACAAGCTTTGTAAAATTGCAAAGTTCTTGAACTTTTGCAGAAAACAGGCTTATTTGAAAGAAAACTAAATACAAGCTTACTCCTCAACCCAAATATAAAACATGTTTTTCAGAAACAGATCCTTAATTATTTAATATCCTCTGCATGGATTAGAGATTGCACTCTATATGAAATATTTTTGAAAAATGCTAAAACTTTTGTCCGTTGTTGAAGGAATTTTCAGGATATGGGGAAAATCTTTCCTTTATATTGATGTTTGAAATAGGACCCTGGGACTTTGTCAGTTAATTGGTATGTATGAAGGGCCATTTTATGGATAAAGTGAACCCAGCTCTTTACATCATTTTTAATAGATACAGTCACCAAAGGTCCAAAAGATAATTCAATGCACATGATACCAAAACTGAGTAGTTTTGATTTCTCACAATTCAAAGGGCCATAAAAACCCTAAGTTAACCTTGCTTTTTTATAATGTTTATGTCTACAAACTTTTACCATATGTATCAGGTCCTTAGTTTCTAAAAATACCATTATCTTGTGTAAGTCCCCAGAGTTTTACCATCGTGTATAAGGTCCTCGGTTTCTATAAATACCCTTATCTTGTCTAAGCCCCCAAACTTTTACCATGTGTATAACGTCCTCAGTTTCTATACATACCCTTATCTTGTGTAAGTCCCCAAACTTTTACCATGTGTATCAGTTCCTCAGTTTCTATTAATACCCTTATCTTGCGTAAGTCCCCAAAGTTTTATGATTGTGTATAAGGTCCTCGGTTTCTATAAATACCCTTATCTTGTATAAGCCCCCAAACTTTTATCATGTGTATAAGGTCATCAGTTTCTATACATACCCTTATCTTGTGTAAGACCCCAAACTTTTACCATGTGTATAAGGTCCTCAGTTTCTTTAAATACGCTTTATCTTGTGTAAGTCCCCAAACTTTTACCATGTGTATAAAGTCCTCAGTTTCTGTACTTTCATTATGTGTAAGTCCCCAAACTTTTACCACGTGTATAAAGTCCTCAGTTTCTATAAGTACCCTTATCTTGTGTAAGTCTTTTATCATGTGTATAAGGTCCTCAGTGTCTATAAATACCCCTATCTTGTGTAAGTCCCAAAACTTTGCAGGTGTATAAAGTCCTCAGTTTCTATAAATACCCTTGTCTTGTGTAAGCCCCCAAGCTTTTACCATGTGTATAAGGTCCTCAGTTTCTATACATACCCTTATCTTGTGTAAGCCCCCAAACTTTTATCATGTGTATAAGGTCCTCAGTTTCTATACACACCCTTATCTTGTGTAAGTCCCCAAACTTTTACCATGTGTATCAGGTCCTCAGTTTCTATACTTTCATCATGTGTAAGTCCCCAAACTTTTACCATGTGTATAAGGTCCTCAGTTTCTATAAATACCCTTATTTTGTGTAATTCCCTAAACTTTTATCATGTGTATAAGGTCCTCAGTGTCTATAAATACCCTTATCTTGTGTAAATCCCAAAACTTTGCATGTGTATAAAGTCCTCAGTTTCTATAAATACCCTTGTCTTGCGTAAGTCCCTAAACTTTTACAATATGTGTAAGGTCCTTAGTTTCTATTCTTTCATTATGTGTAAGTCCCCAAACTTTTATTATGTGTATAAGGTGATCAGTTTCTATACATTTATTATGCATAATTTTAACTATGTGTATAAAGTGCTCAGTTTCTATAAATACCTGTATCTTGTGTAAGTACCCAGTTTCTATAAATACCCTTATGTTATTTAAGTCCCTTAACTTTTATCATGTGTATAAGGTCCTCAATTTCTATAAATACCATTATCTTGTGTAAGTCCTCAGTTTCTATAAATACCCATATCTTGTGTAAGTCCCCCAAACTTTTACCATGCTTATAAGGTCCTCAGTTTCTATAAATACCCTTATCTTGTGTAAGTCCCAAAACTTTTACCTTATGTATAAGGTCCTCAGTTTCTATTCATACCCTTATCTTGTGTAAGTCCCAAAACTTTTACCATGTGTATAAGGTTCTCAGTTTCTATACATACCCTTATCTTGTGTAAGTCACCAAATTTTTACCAAGTGTATAAGGTCCTCAGTTTCTATAAATACCCTTATCTTGTGTAAGTCCCCAAACTTTTACTGTGTGTATAAGGTCCTCACTTTCTTTAAATACCCTTTATTTTGTGTACGTCCCCAAACTTTTACTGTGTGTATAAGGTCCTCAGTTTCTTTAAATACCCTTTATCTAGTGTAAGTCCTCAAACTTTTACTGTGTGTATAAGGTCCTCAGTTCCTTTTATAACCCTTATCTTGTGTAAGTCCCAAAACTTTTACCATGTGTATAAGGTCCTCAGTATCTTTAAATACCCTTTATCTTGTGTAAGTCCCCAATCTTTTATCATGTGTATAAGGTCCTCAGTTTCTATAAATACCCTTATCTTGTGTAAGTCCCCAAACTTTTACTGTGTGTATAAGGTCCTCAGTTTCTTTAAATACCCTTTATCTAGTGTAAGTTCTCAAACTTTTACTGTGTGTATAAGGTCCTCAGTTCCTTTTATAACCCTTATCTTGTGTAAGTCCCCAAACTTTTACCATGTGTATAAGGTCCTCAGTATCTTTAAATACCCTTTATCTTGTGTAAGTCCCCAATCTTTTATCATGTGTATAAGGTCCTCAGTTTCTATAAATACCCTTATCTTGTGTAAGTCCCCAAACTTTTACTGTGTGTATAAGGTCCTCAGTTTCTTTAAATACCCTTTATCTTGTGTAAGTCCCCAAACTTTTTACCATGTGTATAAGGTCCTCAGTTTCTATAAATACCCTTATCTTGTGTAAGTTCCCAAACTTTTACTGTGTGTATAAGGTCCTCAGTTTCTATAAATACCATTATCTTGTGTAAGTCCCCAAACTTTTACCATGTGTAAGAGGTCCTCAGTTTCTATATATACCTTATCTTGTGTAAGTCCCCAAACTTCTACCTTGTGTATAAGGTCCTCAGTTTCTATAAATACCCTTATCT